TATTTTCAGGTTTTCTACTCTAAATATATCATTTTGTGAGTATCACTGGTTCTACATTAACAGTTTGAGAAATTTATGCTGTAACTGCTGTTTTTCACAAGTAGTTCACAGTATGATCAATAATAACATTGTGGGGATTTTTTCCCAGTGATGCAGGAAGCCTGTTAGTACGTTGAACTTGTAGATAAATATTCTCTCTCATATGGGTTAAATGTGAATCTGGGTCACCAAAACTAAAACCATACTTTCTATGTAAGCCATGCACAAGTATTTGATTTTCTAAATTAATAACAAAAGTGTAGGTTAAAACTGCTAAAACAAACAAATAAAATTTATAGCTTCTAGCAATGGGAGATAAAGACTGGAACTAGATCTTAGGTAATGTGGATGAATTATTATTATTCAGTGATCTTTTCCTAAGAACTCAAAAATTTTAAGTTACATTTAAATATACAATATATAGTATTGTAACTGAAAGAAATAATTGAGAACAATTGGAAGAAGGAAAATTGCTAAATAAATGGAACATAGTATTCCTCATATTCTAAGCAATTTTGAAATACTGCTTTGTACATTCTGATATTTGTGACTGAGCAGAATCCATAAAGTACAATATTTCATTCTTATTCCAGTGCTTCTAGGAAACACCGAACAAAACAAAAAACATCCAGGCACATTTCCTTTCCCTTCCACCCAGAATTCTGAACATTCTAGTAACAGCCTTATTTTTCTCAGCTGTTATGACTGATTATGAGCCATCAAGTCAGGGTCAACTCTTAGCAAGCACATAGATACATTTTCTCCAGATTGATCTGTTCCCAACCTGGTCCTTCAGGTCTTCTAATGATATAACCATCACTATTGTAATTGAGCTGTTCTGAGGGTCATCCTCTTTTATCTTGCTTAGCAATTGCTCCTCCAGGGAGATAAGTCACCACACAATATGACCAAAGATTGATAATCTGAGTTTACTCATTTGTACCTCAAGTGAGAATTCTGAGCTGTTTTGTTTAGTAATCATTTATTTTTAGGCCTTCCATGGTATTCCTAGGAGTCTTCTCTAACGCCAAAAAAGTGTAATACTTTTTCTATCCTGCTCCTTCAAAGTCAAACTTTCACTTCAATAGGTTGTCACAGGAAAAACCATTGACTTCACATTTCGATCTTTGTAGGTACAGATACATCAGGGCATCTGAATATCTTTTCAAAGGCCTTCATGGCTATTCTCCTCTCTCAAGTATTTCTCAACTAGTGGTTCTTCTACTGTTGACAGTTGATCCTGAAAGGTAGAAGCTATCTACCACCTCAATATCTTCTCTGTTAAATTGAAGCCTGCTTTTTATATATGTTGTCATTAGTTGGTCTTCTTTATATTTAATTTAGTCCCATTTTTCCCTAAGCTTGCTCCTTGACTTCCATTACTAGAGCTCATAGAACTTTTGCGTATTCCACCACCAGAGTTGTGTCATCAGCATAAAGCAGGCCACTGTTTTTATCCCTCCCATTCTGAAACCATGCTGATCTTCTTCCAACCCAGCCTCCCTTAATCTATATTCAGCATACAGGTTGAGTAAGTAAGGGGAAAGCCTACAACCTGATTCCATTCCTTTGTCAACCTGTTTTGCCACATTCTGTCTGGCCTGTGGCCTCCTGACCTGTGCATGGGTTTTGATTGAGGATGAGATGTTACAGGATTTTCTAGAATTTCAGAATCATTTGATCATACATGACAAATGTGTATCCATGGCATGTGTATCCACGTGCTTTCAGAATAATTAAAACCTTTGGAAAGGAATTAGCTATTTTTGTAAAGCACATTCCTTTTTTTTCAGTTAGACTGACAAAATTAATATTGAACTAAATTCTTGATTTGGCATTTGCAGCTATTGGAAATAAAAAAAACAACCCATTGTGCTGAAAGAAAACTGCTGGAAAAACAGTTGAAGCCTTTTTTTAATGGCCACTGGACATCGGTTGAAAATTGTTTATATTCTTAATGTCCTGAGTACTGTCCAGAATGACTTTAAGGGTTCCTATATGTCAGTGTTTCTCAACCTCAGCAACTTTAAGATGTGTGGACTGCAATTCTCAAAATATCCCAGCATGTCTGGCTGGAGAATTCGTGGAGTTCAAGGCCACAGCTTAAAGTCGCTGAAGTTGAGAAATACGGCTTTAGCAATCTGGCACCTTGAAAAGGTATGGACTTCAAGTTCCAGGATTCTCCACCAGCAAGCAACCAGCAAGCAGGCTAGAAAATTCTGGGAGCTGAAGTCCACACATCTTAAAACAGCTGGGATGTGATATAAGCCTTACCTCAGCTTTAAACCTACTTAGCTGATCTTTCTTCCTGCATCTATGGCTGGAGGGAGAATGAAGGTGGGGGGGGAGAAGATTGCAGTTTAACTTTTCTCAAAACTAATTAATGTAGAATGGTTTTGTGAACATAATGCAGCATAGTGCACTTTAGGCCAAATCTGACTTTGGAAAATGGATTTGATGGATTTGAATTAAGTCCTGATGAAAACACTTAAAACAAGTTTATCCAATATTTTGCACAAACTTCTGTTATTTCTGGAAGTGATTCAAAGCCAGAAACAATTTACTTAGATTCCAAATGGTCAGTAGAATTTTCCACAAATATTTCTGAGATTTCAGAAGCCAAACCCTTGTATTTATAGGCACTAGTGTATTATATTCGGCAATATAGTCAAGCCTGAAATGTTTATCGTTGGTTTCTTCTAGAGTAAAAGTACGGGGCATTATATATGAGATGGTTAAAAAAAAAACTTAAAACACAGCTGTCAGTTTTAATTTCCTATGTTATAAATTAAGCATAAAGAAACAGCCACTAAGGATTTAATCTCATTTACTAAATTTAAATAATTTGAGTTTAAACCCTCTCTGAAAGATCCTTCTAACAGATATTCTTTTGCAGCATTTTGAAATAGTTTGGGAGTTTTGTGGGATGTCTATGGAGATTCTCAGTCATCCAGGTCACAGTTGTCCTTTAAAAAAAAAAAAAGCACCTTTGGGAGCTTTGTGGGAATTTCCCAAGATAAAGTACCATCACCAGCAAAAAAACCAGGAACCCCTGTTATAACACATCAAGCATCTGAACAAAAGCCTCTCTCAATCATCTAAAAAACAGAAGTTATATACAGAAACGGAGCTATTTTTCATCCAACTGAAACAGAAGCAACATTTACTGAACCTCGGAAATGTTTTCAAAGATAATTTCTTGTGGAGATGCAGATAGGGCATACTTAACAACCATTCTTTCAGTGACTGTTCGAAGTCTGAATGAGGTGCTGAATGTTTCCTAGTATGATTTGATTGCTCATAGCAATAGCAATAAATATAGCGCTTTATAGTGCTTTACAGCCCTCTCAAAGTGGTTTACAGAGTCAGCCTCTTGCCCCCAACAATTTGGGTCCACATTTTACCCACCTCAGAAGGATGGAAGGCTGAGTCAACCTTGAGCCTGGTGGGATTCAATCTGCCAAATTGCAGTAGGAGTAGCTTGCAGTACTGCACTCTAACCACTGTTCCACCGAGGCTCTATTTTTGTACCCTATGACTATTATTGAGTCTTGTGATTCTTGATGAATGTATCTTTTCTTTTATGTACACTGAGAGCATTTGCACCAAGACAAATTCCTTGTCTATTCAATCACACTTGGCTAATAAAGAATTCTATTCTATTCTATTCTGTTCTGTTCTATTCTATTCTATTCTGTAACAATGAATGTTAGCTATGACAGGTCCCCAAAGTTATGACTCTTGCAGTGTCCCTATATGGTCACATTATCAAAATTTTGCTGCTTGGCAACCTGCTTACACTAAAGAACACAGGGGTGCTTCAACTCCTCTCTCATCTATCCTGCTCTCTCTGCCTTTCTGGCTGCCCTTGTTCTACTTGCCCTGCCAGTCCTACCATCCTCAGCTGACTTTCATAGTCTTCTTCTTCCCAGTATGACAGTAAGTGCTTTGGACAACCTGCAGTCCAACTGGGAATGGCTTGGATTGAGGTGAGTCCTCACATAATGATCGGTGGGATTCAGTTAACAACTGAAATGGAAATTGTCAGGACTGCTGTTGTTAAGTGATACAGTCATGTGATATTGCAATTTACAGCTGCATTGCTTAATGATGGAATTTCTTGTCTAAGTTACTGTTCAATATGCTCAATTGTTGAATAGGTTTCTGCAAAGAGAAGTGTAATGTAAATGTAATTTACATCAGTTTTGAACTATAAAATAGTTGGCACCATACTTTAAGAAGTTAAAAGAAATCAGAATAACTAAACTAAGTGTCAAGAGTCAGTGATTATCATTGGAGGAGATTCTCATAAACTGCTGGGATACTGCGAAGCTGAACTGTCTAATAGGTCCCTTCCCACCATTGCAATGGACTCCTTTAAACCCCATTAGGTAGCAATTTATCTATGACAAGGGACCACATACTGTTCCTGCTGTAACCAACCAAAGCAAAAGTTAAATAATGTCAACAGCCTGCTGGGACCAATATAATATGTTACAGACCACTGTTGCTATAAGCTGTTCTTGACATGGTGGGTTCTGCATGTAGAAGTTACCTCAGTAGGTAATAGTACCTTATCTCTGGTGGACCTCAACATTAACACTGTCACCTCAAATAAGGCAGAGTTAATTTTTTCTCAATTACTTTTCAAGAGCCGTATGAAAGATATGAAAGACTGCTGAACTAGTTAGCTGCTCAGAAAATGAAACTACTCTTATTCCCTAGGTAGTGATCGATGTTTGTGTTGGGAGAAATTTGGTGAAGAATTGTAATATCTCTATTTGCTCCTTTCACCCAACTAAGTCTACGTAGAACATGCCAAATTAATTCTATTATCCAAGATCAAATCATCAGAGTTTATGCTTTTTTCATTTTCATCAGTTATACAAAGATACCACCACAACTTTAAAACTTCTTAATAAAGTAATAAATTTGAGGCAGCAACATTTGGAATAACTTACTAAGTATCTCTCCTCTTGCCTCATATTTGGAGTACGGATCATGTGGTTCTGCTCCCCTCTCCAGTCTCCAAAACGGCGAAAAAAATAGTTAGATAAAAATCGATTGATAGGATCTCTAATAATATTGATGTATACTGGTTGGTCTCCTCCAAATCTGGCAAACAAAAATAAAGAAAAATCAGAAAACTGCAAACAGAACTTTTTAAAATTCAAAGGGTGTCAGAAGAGAACATATACGAGTAGAAAATAGAAGTAAAGTAACCATTGGCAAGAGATAAAATGTTTTTAAGTTTGAAGATAACTAAATCAGAAATTTAAATAGGCACATCAAAAAGAATGTAATAACTATTTCAGTGTATTTTTATATTGAATTTAATGTAGAATAACTTATCTTACCAGGTAGAAGACAGTTTACTGTAATATTAATTTAATTCAATAGGATACTCTATCCTATTTTATAAAGTATAGTATACTATTGTTGCCAACAGAATCAGATACAAGACTGCAGATAAAAACAGCATAATTTTATCAAATGCCTTGTTTTCTTCTTACTTTTCCATGTCTCAGGGAGATTAATATGTATATTTTATTTTAAGGATTAATTGAGAGGAAAGCCCTGAACTGTTTTTGGGAAAATGTTTTATTTATCTGAATTAAAAAGGCTAACATATATCAGGATAAAATATAACAAATCTTAATAAAATGTCAGGCTAAAATTGAAAATCCAGATGTGAAATTTCCTGCAGTACACAATAATAAATAATAAATCAATTTCAAATTCAGTGTAACATTCCAAGTCTATGATCCTAAACACAATTATTTGTGAGGGTACTCTGTTGGACAATTATATCATCACCATGGCTAGCTATATTATTTTCACATATAAAAGCATACAAAGGGTGGAAAGAATTCAAGACAAATATGTAATACAAACTTTTTAAAAATGTTTGAGCATAAATCTGTCACGAGGGAGTTGGAGACCTTAGCTCTAACATAGTTATCCTATTTAGATGTTATCCTATTTAGATGAGAGCTAAGATCTTCAATTTCACTAGTGATTATAAATCCTTAAGTAATGTACAAATTCTATGTTAAGATCATTTTAATGATTAATTTCAAAATACGTTCTAATAAATTGGATTATTATTTTCAGATCCAAATAAAAACAAGATTAAAATGAGTATTGATATATATAATTTAGCTGGAAAAAATATACATAATTTATTTGGAAGAATGTCAATGGAAACCAAGAGGATTTAGATACAATTATTCTAACACGTAGCCTTATTGCAGTGTAAATGTTTTAAATTTAATAAAAAGATACCTGATGTTAAATTTTAATACATTTTTCATGAAATTTAGGCATTCTACACATTTTTAGTTTTTGCACCATGTCATCAGTGTAAATGCAATACTAGGAATTAATGAATATAAATTTATTTTTAATAGAAACCAGAATTAATTTAAGACTGACATTTTAGTTATTCCTCAGAGTGCTCTGTGTTTCTTCCAAACTTTAGTCCTGTGATACTTGTACAGATAATTTCCCAGTAGCAAAACTTGAAATACTATAAAATGTATTTATATACTGGTAATTATTTGTTTTAGAACAGGAACTAAATCCTCCATTCAAAATAACACTGCTTGACAAAATGAATTGTGACAATTCATCGTTCCTGAAGTATTAATGTTAAGATTATTAAAACAGAATTGTTAATTTTAAATCTCAGAATGGATTATGAACAAAATTTGTAAGCCAAGTGCTTATTTTTCTTACTTATTTTTAATGAAGTCAATCCAGTTCAGCTAACAAATCAATTCTGTATAAAAGATCACCATCAGTCATGAGGTCAACATAAATACCCCCATGAGGTTAACATAAAGAAAACGAAGACCCTTTAATTAAATCATAAATGTATGTGTAGTTTCACCCATGAAACTATTCTAAGACGGGTCCCCAACCCTTGGTCCATGGATCATCACTGGTCCACAGCATGCCAGCAACCAGGCCATGCAAACAAGTGAAGCCTCAGCCACAATTTACAGGCAGCATGCAAACCAATGCCCCCTCTGGTCTGCAGAAAAACCTTTCTCCACCAAGCCCTGGTACCCAAAAGGTTGGGATCCCCTGTTCTAGGAAGTATAGCAGCTAAGAACAAGATTTGGAAGAAGAATTACTAGTTTGAGAAAGCATACAAAGTATTTTAAGAAACTGAAATCGAATAAATTGCTTCAGAGGCATATTAGTGAACGTAGTCTGGAAGTCTTCTTTCAGCACATAATTTATAATTCTGGGAATGTCAATCTCAACCAAATGGAAATAAGGTGTGTGTGGGTGTGTGGGTGGATTTTGTCTATAGTGGCATACCAAAACAAGGGATTGTCATACTAAATTCTATTAATTTATTAATGTTTCACAAAATAGAAATATTTAGTAAATAGGAATTCATTTTAATTACAGCAAGAAAATCCCAAACTCTATCTTATTGTTGGACTAAATTATCAAGAGGGAATCCGCATTATCTACTTCACTCACAAATGCTTGGCTAGGCAGTATATAAAATATTTAATAGAGTTAATGTATATAAATCACATAATAATGTTAAAAGTTTACAATCATTGCAATCATATTACTAACTGTCCAGAGCTGCATGTGGCCCAGGGGCCACAGATTGGACATTCCTGCAGTTCATCATTAATAATGCCCATATGTGGCATATAGCCCAACTCAGAACAAGTATTGCAGAACCAGGTGTATCAATTGTCTGACTATGCTAGCTACTGACTTGCACATTTACCAAAGTCTTCTATAGATTTACCAATATACATGAAAAGATGGTTACAAGAGAAAAAGGTGCACATGTAACTGTGGAATGTTCTGTCACCAAACTGGTTCAAGCAGTATTGATGAATTAGATCTTGTTGCCATTTAAATTTCCAATTTTAAACCCCAACTTAGCTGCACAGTCAGAGAGAATTCAGTCTTCTTGAATTTAGTCCCTGATTTATACTTTGCTCACTTGCCTGGAACTATCTATGATCTATCTTCTGCAACAGTTTAAAAAAAAAAGGACTCTGTTATTCTAGGTATATGCTGTTACCAATTATCATAGGAAGTCTGCCAGTACCTTTCAGACTGACAAAAGTTATTTAAAAAGGTAAAATGTTATATGAACTGCAGTGCACTTTATCCAGTGCACGGAATGGTTAAAGTGATGTAGGGTTTAATTGGGGATGCGGTACTTTAAAAGGAACTCATAATCTTTCTCACATATAACCTGCATTTGCCTAATCACCCCACCTTCCCCCTACTTTCCTCTGTTCCCTGGCCCCTTTAAGTTCCACATCGAATTACGTATCCCATGCATCAAATGAAAGTGATGCATTCTGCGGCTCAGAATGGCTTATGCCTTTAGATAACATCTGTTAGTCAAAAAAAATGGGCTACCAGATCTTCCTTTTGGTTATCATAACCACCAGTTGTTCAGTGCTCTTCTCCTACAAAATCTATAGTTATTATAACTATATGTATCTACTGACCTAACTGGCATTCAGAAGTTATCCATTTGAACTAGAATAGCGGTCGCCAACCGGCAAAAATTTTGGTGGGCCGCAGACAAATCTCACCCCCAGAGCACCCCCCCAAAACAATTAATCCAGACTGCGCAGAAACACAAGGCTGAGCTGCCCACATGACCCACAGAAACCCTCCCCACCCACTCACTCCTTACCCGGCAAACTTGCCTGCTAAAATTGCTATTTTCCTTTTTCCGACCATCATCTGTTCTACTGTGCCAGGAGATTTAGATTAGCTAGGAAGCAGGAAATGGTTGGATTTCTTGCTTTCTAGCTAGTCTTTAGATCTTCGGCTCTGCTTTTAAGCACAGCCGAACCTCCCTTAGGACTGAAGGTTCTATTATTCAGTGCAGACTCATAGCAAGCAAAGTTTTTTAGTGACAGACTGAGCTAGCTGATGGCAGATAGATAGATCACTGAATGATTCTGTGAGCAACTCAATCTGCCTGCCTGCTTTG